CATGACAAAGGCTAGAAGTGATTATAAGCCTAGGGTATTTGTGTAATAAGAGAAACATGTTACTCTGAAGGGACAAAGTTTTCATGCTGCCTTTTCAGTGGTTCTGAGTGAGGACCTTTCAAGACTCAAGTGACCCAGCGTAGGAATCTGCCTCCAGCATGTTCCCTTGAGTTGGGTGGGCAGAGGATCTTTCCCTTCAACACTGTGGCCAGCTGTCTTCATTTCAGTACTTAAGATGGTAACTGGTCTTGCTAGGGTTTTACTAAGGCCCTTGATGCTTAATATAACATCAGAATCGATTTCTCATTATGGCCTAGGTGCTGGGCATTTAGATTCCAAGAGAGAAGAATACAAGGTTAACAAGACCACCAGTATCATAGAGGTCATTTGAATCTTTACTCATTATTTTCTACCTACTACCCTTAGTTTTAGGAAGTCTGGAGTGGTGGTGAGACTAGACATTTTCGATACTGGAGGGACTGCTTTTTCTTCTCTCTCTCTCTCTTTTTAAGATTTTATTTATTTATTCATGAGAGACACAGAGAGGCAGAGACATAGGCAGAGAGAGAAGCAGGCTCCCTGTAGGGAGCCTGATTCAGGACTCAATCCCAGGACCCCGGAATCATGATCTGAGCCAAAGGCAGATGCTCAACCTCTGAGTCACCCAGGAGCCTCTACCTTGTCTTCCCTTGAAACTTACCAAGACATGTAGAAATCATGCCTGTGTTCTATGTTCAGTGTCTTTTGGCTACAAGAATAGTTAGGGTGCCTATGAGATGTCCAAGAGTTCCCCCACCAACACACTGTGACCTATTGCTACTTCAAATTCCCAACTTCTCAAGAGTTTTCTAGAATTTCAAATATATGGCTATCCTTCCTTTGTGTTTCAGAAACCTCCTCTTTGTCTTCACTGTGTAAGTCCTTCAAAGGGGACAGGAAACCAGTTATCAAGAAACTGATAAATTTGAACGTATTTTTTTGGAAAAACACACTTATGATTGGTTCCAGACACATTTTGGTTATCAAATTGTTTACTGATTTAAAATAAATGTGTTCTGTGTTGGGATGGGGTAGCTGTGGTTGTAAGAGAGCAGCATAAGGGCTCCTGATGGTGATGGAACTGTCTTATGTCTTGGCTGTGGTGGCAGATCCAGAAATTACACACATGCAAATGAATACATGTGAACCTGGGAAAATTTGAGTAACACTGGGAATTATATAAATGTTGATACCCTGATTGTGATGGTGTACTATAGTTTTGTGAAATGTTACCATTGAGGGCCCTGGGATCTCTCTATATCATTTCCTACAACTCTAAGTGAATCTACAATTATCTCAAAATAAAGTCTAATTAAAATGTGTTTAATATTCTGGGCTCAGAGTATTTAGGAAGATAAAAGTCACACACGCAACATACAAGCAAACACACGTCACAAACGGTAGTCAAGGTTTAGCTTGCCATAGTGGGTACATAATATGTTTTTGCTACCAATTGGAGACAATTTTGTTTCAATAATTCTTGAATCTAAATTTGGTGTCATAAGGCATAGCCATCCTCTTTAGACATCACAGTCATGACTGTATTGTAATTTTCCTATCCTGGTGAATGCACATGTTTAATGAAGAAAAATAATCTGAAGCTCCGTAATTCTATATTTGTATTGATTTTTATAAGTAAGTGTTGAAAGAAACACTATAAGGAAAATGTTTGAATAGGCAATCCAAATCTGTATGTGAGGACTTGGAGGAACTAAGTGGCATGTTTTATATGTTCCTACATTGTTTTACACTATTTATCCTTAGTCCGTTCGGGCTGCTACAACATAAATACCATAGACTGGGTGGCTTAAACAACAAAGACTTTTCTTTTAATGTCCTGGATGCTGGAGGTCCAAGATCAGGGCATGAACCTTCCTGGTTCATAGACAGTTGAACTCTTTTGCTGTGTCCTCACATGGCTGAAGAGGTGAGGAAGCTGTGTGGTGTCTTTTTTATAAGGGCACTAATCCAATTCATGAAGGCTTCATCCTCCATGACCTTAATCCCCTTCCAAATGCTCCACCTCCATACACCATCACATTGGGGATTAGGATTTCAATTTAGGAATTTTGGGTGGACACAAACGTTCAGTCTGTTTGTAAGCATAGCTTAATAATGTCTTATTTTTGTGGTATAGCAGAAGGCCTTCCATTTTTAGCTTTAGATAAAGAGAAGCATTTATAGATCATCCAGCTGTTCTGCTTTTTAAATCATACTGTAAATTTCTCATTGACTCAGAATGATTAGGAGTAAAATGTTTGACTAATAAAGTAGTCCTGTTACTGAGAGATAGTGAGCTTGTATGAAACACAGCAATTTGCAATTTCAAAGGACTCAAAGAAAGTACAATATGTTAAACTCAATCACCTAAAATTCATTGTGGAATGAGAGAAGGTAACATAAAACAGTTAAATGTTACAAGAATAGTACTTATATGTTTTTAATTGGGGGGTTAAATTTTTATTCACAACCTGGCAGGGTTTCAGAAATCTCATTCATCACAGTAATTAATGTGATGACCAAAAAATTAGGAACGTCATATTCTGCACATCAAAAAATTTAATGATCACAGATGCTCTACATCAGTTGTCATTTTCCCCCATACAAATAGAATGTGTTTAAATCATCTGCGATTTCTAAGATCTTAACACTTTTCAAATTTATTTAGGTGAAGACGCTTCTAAAAAGATGCCAAGTCATAAGTTTTGTAATGTTTCAGCTTTAAAATAATTTCAAACATAACCAGCATTAACATTTACCTCTTTTATGTTAAACTGATGAAGTGTCTACTACATGGTAGATGAATTTTTTTCGTAGACCCTATTCTGTAATCAAGCATTTTACTTCAGGCATAGTAACTTGGTCTTTCGGCAGACCAGCGGAGGTAATGTGCCAGCAGGGACCAGAGTGCTACACATCATCCGACGATGGAGGCACTCTGTACAGCTAAGAGAGTTGTGCCTCTTTCTTTACACATGCTTGTCATTTTGTCCCTTGATGGTTAGAATTAGGAATCTTAGTTTGGGGACAACTTTGTTCATCTCACCATTTGCCTGGTTGGAAGAGGTGTGTAGCACCCCCAGATACGATAGTCAGACTTAAAACCAGAGGCGCCGATCACTTCAGGGGTCTCAATACCTATCAGCTTCATTTGAAGCACGAGGAATTTCAGGAAATAGATGCTGTACAGCATTTGCACTGAACACAAGGTCCCCTAATGTTAGGGTCCTATGTGTGGTGATTTTTCTACATAATTCACTGGGGACAGGATCCTATTCCATAATGAACTTTACAACATGAATAAGTATAAGGAAACCTACTCCACTGGTAGTAAGAAGTGTTTTTTGAAAAATTCATACTGTTATATCAATCTTCATTCATGTTTTTAGCTTGTTATTTACTATTTTAGCAGGGTTATTTTACTCTTGGTATCTTCATTTTACCTAATAGCATACATGCAATTGGGGCTAGCTCTAATTCAGTTGCTGTTTAAAAATACCTCAATATGCCTCCTAACACATAGACAGACTTCTGTCAGTAGTCTGTTCTGATAGTCCTTCAAAAGTATACTAATATACTGAGGCAATGAATCTGTTGTTTCACTTTTTTTTCTGGCTGCTGAACCATTCTTTTGTTTAGTGAACTTGTAGCCTTAGGACATGTCAGGAGCTGTGAGGGGGAGCACCCCATTCACCTGACTTCTGCCTCTACCACCCATCGGCAGAAACCGTTCACTCCAAGGGGTGTCTACCCCATGGCGTGTTAACGTAGTAGCATCAGGAGCACCCCCAATTTTTGTAATCCTTTTATGCAAATACATTTGTAGCTTTAGTTTTGTGTTGACGGTAAAAAGGCAATTTTATTGTGGCAGGACTCATTCACACTTTCAGCTCCAGGTAGCTCAAGGACAAGTGTGGTACCACTTTAACCGGCACTAAAACCCCAGCTGCAGTGGAAAATGCTACTGCATGAGGTAATGAACTCCCTATTTACCAGAAATTTTCAAGGAGAGCTGAATAGCTACTTGTAGGCACACTATAAAAAAAATATATGTACATCAGATAACTTCACATTTACTTTCCAACTCAGTGACTATATGCTTATTTGAAAATCACTGATTCATATTAATCCTTACATAGCTCCTTTGATTAAGGTCGATGACATTCCAAAACTTGCAAAAAAATTTGAGCAGCTCTTTGTTCTGGGTCTGAAAATATGTGCCAGTCAAAATAAGCTGGTTAGCACAAAACTTTCCTGTTTTCTCTTTCTTGATGACACAATTGTTAATTTTTCCATTAATGCCAGCATAATTCTCTTAGACTGTTTTTTGTTTGTTTTTTTGGGGGGTTTGCTTGGGAGAACTTGGGAATGGCTAGTTATATGTATAGTTTATTGGATAACTGTTATTTTGTGTGCCACCGTAGTCTACAGGAAATTACTTTCTGCCTTTTATATCTTGCTTTCCCATTTGGTAGTCCCCTTTCTTGTTTTGCTCACATGTCCCACATCTCATCTTGAGAGAGATTTAGCTTTAGAAGCTTACTGATTGCCAAAGGAACCTACTACTTAGCATGTTCCTAGATTTGGCCTGGGTTTGGTTGTCTAGGCGGTGTCTGGGCAGATCTATTACTCATACCTTCTGTGGAAACATGTTGAGCATGGGAGTTTCCTGATCTTTCTGGATTCTCTACAGAATGCTTGATGTTACATGTTAAAAATTATTTCTTGATATAGATAAAAATACATTGCTATAAGGTGTGTTAGGATGAAGTTAAGGTTACTGAATTTCGATAGATTTTGTAGTTTTATATACAAATTATTTCTTTTTTCCTTTTCTCCCGAGATATGTCGTGGATGCAAAAGGTAGGGAAAAGAATCGGTGACAGGTGTCCTATCATTGGAAGGAGTAAATCAGGCCACAGTTATGTGCCCTTTAGGAGGGACAGGACACATAATCCACACACCTGCGCAAATCCTTTATTAAAGCAACAATCAAAATACAGGATGGAGCACGTGGTTTTCTGTTTTGCTACTGTAACATCAACTTAAAAGTCATTTGTATATATCTTTAACGTATTTTTAAAAAGTGAACAATTGTAGTTCACAAAATAAACAATTTGACATTTCTGCCCGGATAACGTTTTTCATCTTATTTTCCAATTTTAACAAAGGACATTCAAAACTAGAGAGATAGCAAGCCAAACATAAGTGCAAGCAAGCATCTTCTTTGACCCTAACTCACTGTAAGCAGCTCTATGGTGTCCGACAGATACATTAGAAGGCTTCTGTTACTGGTTAAATAAACTGAATTTATGCCAGAATATTCTTAGAACTATTTGTTTTCTATTTTTACATTCTTTAAGAGCTTCACTTCTGATTGTGGTATTCTAAGGATTAGCTCCCTTAAAAATGATATCTCTAAAAAATTCTCAAAGATCATTATCACCCTCAGATGATACTTTCTTGTATAACAGACACACACTCAGTCCTTTGGAAAACATATTAAGCAATTCTGTTTTGATTTCCCCCCACACCATTGATTTGTTTAATCCAAACCTGATTAATCACTGTAGAAACTCTAAAAAAAAAGTCAGTAGGAAAATGAACTTTGTTATCTGCTGAGAGATTTTTAAATGAATAGGTGAATGTAAAAATGACTAGTGTCTTGAAGATATCAGGTGCTCAAAATATGTGTGTGAATATACAATGAGGTTTGGTAGGTTTAAAGAGTACCATAAATGAGTTTAAAAAGCAGGGGTAGAAACAGGGATTACACTTTTAAGGGAATGCCAAAAGGATCTGTGAAGAAGGGTACAGAATAGTAATGGAACTGCGCTGAGTATAAAATAGAGTATCTGAAAGATAAGCTAAACGCTCCATTTTCTTTCCACCTGAAACACTGAGAGGAAATCCCGTTTGCAGAATCATGGGGGGCTGCTATTACAAGACGTTTAGCACTGATCCAACACTGTATTTCAATCTGTGAATAAAAGGTGTCTGATTTGCCTTTCTAAAACTGTGTCTCCAGTGGCCGGGATGAGTGTTTCTATAATAGCTAAGCTGATCTATTTTGGCTGCACTACACGGAAAGGGTGCCTGCTCACAACATGCAAATACTCTTTGTGCCTTACATTTTCTTCATGTGCTGAAGAGCAGAGCAGGTCCTAGATCACCAATAAATAATAATCTAAGCATTAGACTTGAAACATATCATCAGTCTGTTAAATAATTTACATAGCCATAGCTCAATTCAGCCATAGCTCTTTTCATCAAACTGCTTTCTGATCTCACCTTTGCCCTTCAAAGGGACACTTAACATAGACTTCTGCAGTTAAAAATGAACCAAACAATAAAAAAGATGAAGGAAGGAGATTCCAGAATCCGTTGTGTGGGTTATCAGGCCTTTTTGCCTTACTTTTGAAAAGAGGAATGCTCATAAGCATCTGAGACAAACCATTCCAGATATAATGGCACAATAATGCTTGGAACGGGTGAGAACATTCAGATATTTTTAAAGCAGATTCTATCCATTATAGGTCATGTTTGGTTCCTAGAGATTTTAGTCAAGTATTAGTATTTCTTTTTGCAAAGTATGATATACAAAAAGATGATAACAGTAGATGTGCCCTAAAGATATGAAAATATAATATATAAAACAAAACCATTATAAATTACATAGATTTTCAGTATAAAATTTTTTTTCCATTTAGAATAAATACCGTCCAAGTTTACAGGTCATCTAAGTGAATTAAATATGCACACATATCTGAATCATTTTCAGAATTTCAAGAAAAGAAAGTTGCTGTAGATATGACTCAGAAACCAGAAACTGATATTGAGAATGACTACATAAGACCCACAGGAAATGGCTTGGGATTTAGTGTTAAGCTTTTAAACTGCCCAAAGGAGCCTGATGTGCATTCGTGCACACAAGCACACACACACATACAGCCATACTTTTATGAATTTCTATGAAGCTGGAGTTTATTTTGAAAAATCAGCTGAAAGTCACGAGGTCTTCTGCATTTTATATTCTAGGAGAGCCTTTCTTATTTCATAAAGAAGCTGTAAGATTGATAGGAAGAGCGCATAATTTCTGGAAGGAGAAATCTCCATTGTAAGCTGACCTCCTTTTAGGTTGGCTATTATTATATCAAGAGCTTTTTGATGCCTTAGAGGGGAAAAGTTTGGAAAACCTATATAATAATCTCCCCAGTCTTAAGAAGCTAAAACCAATCTGGAACATTCTTTGATCGCACATTTCTGCTCCTGCTTCGTAAAAAAATCTGACTTTACATTTTTTAAATCCCTAATCAATGTCTAGATGGAATTGATGCCTTCTTCTGTAATTTCCATGCAGAAATCTGCACATGGGTTTGGGTGGAATGAGAATTGAACACAATGGGGAAAAGTTCGCACAATATCGTAAAATGAGCTTAAATCTCTGTTATTGTTTTGGCCATATAGATCCATACTAGGAATTTGCTGATCTCCATAGTGAGTGGAAAATGTTTATATTCTGAGAAGTGGAGATAAAACTCTTCTGCAACCTGAATACCTAAAATCCTGGTCCAGAGAGCCCATATAGAAGTCATGGTTTCTCCTGACTGCCATACTACTACTTGCTTTATGTAACCACCTGAGACACTTCTAACTAGATGCCAGCAGTTCATTCTGGCCAAGTGATGTCTGACCAAACTCCATGTCTTGTTAGATTGCCTCTCACACTAGTTATCTATGAATAAAGAGGCCTGTCAGGCCACCCTTAAAGGCAAACCCACTGCTTTCAGGCTGCAGAGCCCGATACATTTGTGGTAAAATTTGGACAGCAAAAGCAACCAATCTCCTGTATCCATTTTTGCTTCCAATGTTGTCTGTCTCTTGCAGTGGGGCCATCTTGGGAGATTACAAACTTTCCATAAAGCAGTAAATGTCTGAGTTGGTAGGATCTTGTGACTCTTCAAGTACAACCCCCATATCGTGCAGATGAAAAAGATGTAACCTCCAATGTCCTGACCCCAACACCTGATATAGCCACGACCCTTACAACCACTTTAAGTTTACTCCCCCTGCTTCTAAGTGAAAATGAAATACCACTAATTCTCACCATTAGATTAAATTTCAATTATAGAAGTGGTCTTAATAATGTTTTGGGAAAGAAGATCCACAACTTGCTTAAAATGCTAGGATTATTTGAAATTGATCCTCTTTGGATAAGTAATGCAGCATAAGAAAATGTGAGCTGAATCCAGAGAGACAAGTGAAAATCTGTTAAGTAACTGGACAGAGAGAAAGCATGATGATATCAGTTTGGCTCTGTGAGAGAGTGAGACTCTTTAGATGGTGCTCAGAGTCCATCTAGTCTGTCTCCTCTGACAAATAAGGAAACCGACACCCAGACCTGCCCAAAGCCAGGCATTGGTCATTGGCACAGTTGGGTAACGTGTTGGGCTTTGCATAGACTGACTTCTGTCTTCTTTCCAAAACATCATTCAGCCTCGCATCTAACTGCTTTCCTGTGAGGCTAAAAGATGATTCCACAATCTGGCATGAAATTTGATGACACAGTTCCCCATGCCATTTTTCTAACCCCTCAGTCTCCCCTTCAAGACCAATGGTTAGCTTTGTAGTTCACAACAGTGGACCTGGTTATAGGGCTTCACAGATCTTTATTTTGCTGACCCAAATCCAGTGTTTGAATCACCCAATGGCATATGGCCCTGCAAAGCTCTTCTGGGAAGCCAATATTCTACAACCCACAGGGATTCATCAAATGCCTCTGTCTTCAGAAGCAATACATTTTCCACATTAAGAATCAGTTTGTTTGTAGGATGATGTTACTTAAACATAAAAAGAGCGGTTTTCATGGGTAATATCGGTATATTCAACCTTTTACAGTCTCCCTCCATACTTCAGTTGGGCTCATCAAAAGCCTCTCAGAATTGGACAGGTAAACACATTTTTATTTGGCTATTAAAGTGCTATTTCTGGGCAAAGGTTTTCTCAGTTTCACAATAGCAGCTTCATTGGAAACAAACAAACAAAAAAGTGATGTATGAACATAAGCCTGAGAAGTGACAAAAATAATGAGCCTAGTAAGTACTCTGGAACATTACAACTGACTTGTGGATATGAGCCCCAGTACTGGTGACTGATACCAAAGCCTCTGAGGTACACATTCTAGGGGGAAATAAGGACAAAGTGGCTATAAGGACTAAACCAAAGAGCAATTAGTATTAACATAACAACAACTACTACATTATAAAGGAACAGTGACAGGAATAAAAACTGAGAAGAAAGTGCAACAAACCCATGTACGTGCATTTGCTATTATAGCAGACCTATAGTTGTTGTTTTTTTTTTTGCAATGCAGTGTGCATTGGACAGGGAGGGCTCTTGAGCTCAGAATATCTTACGGTAATATTCTCTTTGCCGAAAGGGCATCACCCATTAAGATGTTTGGCAGAGAAGAGCCTCTAAAATTCGTATCATGTGGACAGACACCTTCTGCCCAGTATTATCAGTTCTGCACGCTGATGTTTCTCACATCCTTTCCTACTGGGGAAGTTCCAGGCTTATAATAAACTGCACTCAGGTGTTTCCCCTTTGAAAATGGCATCACTCCTACCTAAGGGATCAGAGTCTCCTGGTAAGGCTTAGCGGCAAGTGCGAACTACATCTGCACTACAAGGAGCAGCCCCTGATTTTCATGATATGCATAGCTTTTCATAGTTGATATTAGACATGGCTTTCATAAATAATGCAGGTGTTTCTGTCATGTGCCACTGCTGGCTCTGGAGTTTCCAGGTGAGCTGGTGGCAGAACTCTATCTAGTACCTCAACAGGTGTTGGCTCTTCAGATGTTAGCTCTGTGGATGTTATATCTGTAGAAGGTTCTGCAGTTTCTGGGGAATGTTCAGCAGACGGTTCTGTCTCCTCTTCGTCTTTGACCTCAAATTGTACAGCTTCCTGGTCACCCATGTGATCTTTTTTGGACTGTGGGTGAACAGACACCTTGATGGCGATTTGCTGGGGCTGCTCATGCAGTGATGAGGCATCCGAGTCCGCGGTGGGTGAGTCACTTCTTTTCAGGGAGTTTGGGATCGTGTAAACCTCATCCCTGTCGGAAGCCTCCTGGCCTTCTGGAGTATGCCGCACAAAATTCTGCCCCTGCTCCTCAAGTCCAACTACTTCCATGATTTCCTCCATGATAGTCCTACAGTTCATGATGAGTGGAGGCAGAGGCACACTCCTGGCAAGCTCTTCAATATAGCGGGCAAACTCCATGGTTTTGAACTGGGTGACTTTGGCAAGCTCTAGAGTTTTGGCTGAGGTGATGATGGGGATCCGCTTGGCAATCTCAAATGCCTTCTGCAGCTTCTCTGCACCTTCTGTCCTAAAGAATTCATTGATGGCTTTCTCAGTCTTCTTCAGGTGGCTGCTCATCATGCACAGGCGGGTGATATTGAGGATCATGACAACGGTGAAGGCCACAAGGCAGACGACCATGTAGTAGACGCCCATGTCTCCAGAGGTAAAGATGACTCTCAGGGTCACTGTGTTGTTCACAGTGCCATGGACGTTAGAAGCAACACATGTATATTTACCTCGGTCTGAAAAAGACACCTTGGTGATGTTCAGGAGGCCACTGTCGTGCATCTGCCATTTTCCTGTTGGAAGGAAGAGTGGAGAATTCAACCAAGAACATACAGCTCCCATCAAAGTGTCTACAAAATCTCACGTTACTAAAAACATCTATTACTGCTACTACTACCACCAAGGATAATGACAATGAATACTTACTGTGTGCCAGACAGTGACACATACTAACTTATTTGATCGTCACAACAACTCTGCAAGGTAGGTACTGATACCAGCTCTGTTTTACAGGATGAAGAAACTAAGGCACAGTTGGATTAGACCACCTTCCCAAGGTCACTAGTTTGGAAGTAGTAGAGCAAAAAGATGAACTCAAGCTAAAAAGGCTACACTCTTAAAGCCATAAACCATACTACATAATTCTGCAGCCTTGTGAAAAATAGGAAAAATAAACGATCTGGAAAATATTGTGTTCTTATTAAAGAATTCCATAAACATAGTGTCTGGTTTTCTAACCTGCCTGGGAGCATGACTCTGTTGAATACATGTTCATTGGGGAGATTAATGCTTCTCAGAAAGTATTTCAGGATCAATGTAAAATATGGAGTAAGGCAGTTAAATTATAATTGTTTACCTGGGTTTCTCCTATTTGAGGTTGGAGTTATCTCTGTATAACCTCAGTTAATTAAAACATTAGATGTCATTAATTTTGAGAACTTATAATGAACTGTTTATAGTACTTAAAAGTTACAAGCTAACAATGTGAACATTCAGAGGCTGGGTATGAATTACCATCAATTTGCTTTAGCCTTGCAAATAAATTATAGATCCATCAAGTTGAAAGGAAGCTTCACATAATAGAGAATGCTTGTTGATAAGTGCAGTTCTTATTTCCCTCCCTGGCCTGGAAAGGATCTAGTGTTGCTCTGGCAATGAGGTTCTAAATCAGGAGAAGCTCTTTAGTTGGGATTGATTCTTAGTCTGTCTGTATACGCACAGGTCAGAAGACCCCTGGGGAACATGGTAAAACATTTGGCTTCCAGGTCTTGTGTCTGAGCCTTTCTGAAATCCTACTACCACCCTACATTGTCCTACAGGGAAAGAAGGGGTCCAGATCAGGCCTCTTGGGAGTTCTGAGGAGCAGGCAGGCAGATATTTCTCCATAAAAGCACTCCAGTTCCCTAAGCCATCTACAGGAACCTTCCTAAGAGATGGGGCAATGTAACATTTAGTTTTCCTTTTAAGTATCTATTATTGACTTGTATTTTTTTCTTGTTTCTTCCCCTCTGGCAGTGACTTTTCATTCTATTTAAAGTCTGATATTTCCCCAAAGCAACAAGCAATGTGTCTCCTCCCCATTTTTTTTTTTTTTAACTTGTGAGCACCTAAATGACTCCTATCTCAAGGAACTATGGAATGAGGCAACAGAGGGCCTTCTTTTTTTCTAGCATCTTCTGCTCCAAGGAACCTTCTTAAGAAAGCTACATGAAGTAATGAGGTATCTTCCAAGGGCCTACAGTTCCTCCTACTTGCTAGCCACGCTGGATCTGGCAGGATGCCTCTTGTAGATGCCATCCTATTACTTTGCTTTCTCAAAGAACATCTGTGAAGAGTGGTTCCTGGTGTCCCAGAGTAACCCTTTTCTAACAATTCAGCCAGTGTATTCTCCCTAGGAGTAGAAAGCACTGGTTTGGAAAATCTAGTGAATTTTCAGTTACTTGTGAATGTTTCCTAACAGACAAACCTAAGTACCCAGTCTGTGGCATCTCTTGTTCAGATTGGGCAGGGACAAGCCTTCTACCCCTTTTGTTCCCTGAACATGGATTTAGATATTTCAGCTGCAGATCAATCCAAGTATGGAAATAATCTGAGGCAAGGGAAATTATCCATTCATTTTCTTAAAATTTGCATGTTTCATAAAAGTGGACACCAATAGGCACAGGAAAAAGAATCTAGTTGATTGGAAGCTTATAATGGATATGGAAGGTATATGGTTCCAGACTTACAGACTATACTTGTAGTAGTTTCTCAAATTTACCTTTCTTCTTTTGTTGGAAAATAAAATAGGTAGGGACACCTGGTGGCTCAGGCAGTTAAGTGTCTGCCTTTGGCTCAGGTTGTGATCCTGGAGTTCCAGTTCCAGATCAAGTCTCACATGGGGGAAATCCCTGCTCAGCGGGGAGTCTGCGGCTCCCTCTGCTCCTCACCCTGCTTGTGCTCTGTCTCTCTCAAATAAAGAAAATCTTAAAAAGAAAATATAATAGAGAATAGGATGGGAGAGGGTGAGGTATGGGGAATAATTAGGGTCAAATTGTCACCTCCTAACAACCCATGGCCTGTTATGGAGGAATTACCTCCAAAGTAGTCTGAACCTGGGTATAGGAGATGAAAAGCAGAAAAGAACAGCAAACTATTAAGGCAGGCATCCGATGGTACTATAAACAGCTTTTTCCTCATACTGAATAATTTCAGTGATAATTGTATTTTAATTGTTATGGGTCACAAAGCAAGTCTTTGGTAGCCAATACACACACACACAAACACACACACACACACACACACACACACCCATACTAAGACTGTATAATTTCCTCTCAATCTCAGTTTGACTTTTGATTAGTGAAAAATAAAGATTTCTGCATGTTCTATTACCATTTGCAGCCCTGAAAATAAGGAAGATGGCACAAATTGCACTGGGAGGGTCCTCCCACATCTTTGGGCCCAGTCTCACAAAGAATCTCCATATGTAACCCAGCAGCTGGGATCATCTTGAGAAAATTTTCTATGCTGCACATTGCCATTCACCTCAGGCTATAAATCCTTGCCTAGAGACTCATTCTGGAAGGGTCCTTTGACTTTAACTTTAGTTAAAGAAACAAATATAACCCACAATGCCTGTCACTCGAAGCCATCAGTGCTATACATATAGTGGGTATACAGGGCCGTTCTCGATGTTAATTGAGTGGGAATGTCAAAGTTATGTGTTGAATTTTCATTAAGCTGCATCACTTCAGCACAAATAAAACCCTAAAATGTCAGCAGCTGATGCCAAGTCAGTTCTACATGCGATGACTTTGGAGGAAAGAAAGAGGCGAATGTTTAACCATGACTTTCTGAATATATTACCAAAGATGACGTGTAAAATGTTTCTCCAACGCCCCTGATGGTGATTCGTTCATTCACATCCTGTGTCTTGCTCAGAGCATAGCTCTCCCCTGGGAAACCCCTTCTCCCACTTCCTCTGGTCCCACTGTGGTCCTGGTGACCCTCACCCGAAGGCTTCATGCTAAAGTACTGCCACACGCGGTAGAAGGGCTGCTAGAGTCTATGCTACTGGAGACCAGAGTTTGCCCAGGAATCTGTCACAGTCTCCCCAAGAAACTCCAGGCACGTGAAAATCTCCCATGTGTGAACAGAAGTAGTGTGGTGACAATCTCTCCTTTGCAAAGAAAAAGCTAACAGATGTTATTTCGTAGCTGTGTTGCTGTGTATATTATGCTGCACACACACAAAAAAAACTTGACATTTTTAGAAGGGCAGTGATCTTTTTAAATTTTGTTCACGCATTTAGTCAACAAATATTATTGAGCAAATTGCATTTGCACCAAGTTCCACTCTAGACTATGCAAATACAAAGATGAGTAAGACAAGATCCCCAACTGAGAAAACCATCCAGCCCAAGGAGGGACACAGATTGCTACAAACAACTGTGGATCACTTGGCAAGTGCGTTGGCCCAGGGCAGTGGGGTGGAGCACCAGCTTCTTAGAGAGGTGTGGGGTACTAGGCCAGGATGAGGGCAGGCTGGGTGGTGCAGGCAGGGAGGGGATGCCGGGAGTGTATGAGCAAAAGAGGGAAGCTGTGCTGCTCCAGCTGACAAACCATGTATAACACCAAGAAGGGCTAGGGTAGAAACAGGGCTGAAGGAATGCAGGGTCAGAATGTTCAAGAGCTTCATATTTATCCTGTGGGAGAATGATAAACCCTCATCCTGCAGGACTACTTTTCCCTTGACAAGCTGGCCTTATTTCATTTCTTAGAGCTGCCACAGGGCCTTGCCACATGTTTTCCTCAGCCTGGAAAGCTCTCCTCCCTCCCCACTCCAAGCCCTTACCTCACACATTCTTAGTCCAGTTTAGACTCCACCTCACATCTCATCGTATTCCCTGAGAAAGCCTTCTCCCTCTGATTAAACCAGTGAAGACAATCAGACCAGAAGCGGATGCCAGTAGGCATGGGAATTTTAAAAATAAGGAAGACATTTCAAAGCAGGGAAAGAAAAAGAAAATAAAGTTACACTCCTATTTTATATGATAGGTAAAAATAAATTCCATGTATTCTGAAGATCTAAGTGTAAATTAAAAGTATAAAACTAATAGAGGATATAAAAGCATTTTTATAAACTGTGGATAGGAGGGACTTTTTAAGCATTTCAAGAATCCCAGAAACTATAAAGGAAAACTGATGGAATTCAAAGAGATTAATTTTAAAAAACATAATTTTTTAGACTTTCAGAATGCCAGAAAAAGCGGGAAGGCACCGATTAGACATGACGTTGCTGAGAGAATGGAGAAAGGATGCTCACACACTGCAGGTGGGAGTGGGCCTGGTAAAACCTTTGGGAGGTTGATATGGAGGCATCTGTCAAAATTCAAACTGAATGTGATCTGTGATCCACTTTTAGATTTCTTGATATTCTTCAAATCAGATAAGCCAAAATTGACTGGAAAAATATTAATGAATGTAAGAAAATCAACAATGAATGTAACAAAAAAAATTCTCCTTTTCATGATAGTTTTTCTTCCAGGGATATAGTTCCAGAGCTTTCCTCTCCTGTCAACATTCTCTGGGAGAAGCCGTAACCTCAGTCCCAAGACAGAAGGATGGGTGACCTGGTACCATGGTGCTCACTGTGGGGTACACGCACACAAACACGGGGGAAGTCGCTCCAGAAAGCACAATGTCTTGTCAGTAGGATGGTGTCAGTCAGGTAGATCATCCAGTAATGAAAGAAGATCAATGGCATCACATGGCTATAGTCAACCTGCAGGATTACTGTGGCTCAGAGTCTA